CACAACCTCAAAACCTTCCTCATAGAACAGCAAACATCAAAAGTAGAGAGAGTGAAAACATTCAGAATTACCTTTGGAAGTTCAGATTTCCTTATTGCATTCAAGTCTTTCAAAAACTCTTTGCAGTCATCCTATGAGTAAAAAAGAGAGATCAACATCTAAATGTACTTTTTTTAATACAAAAAAGTTCTGAACCTAATAACTTTAAAGTACTGGACTAACAAAAACAAATTCAAATCACAAACAAGTGTTCTGTTTTGAAAAATGGTTTCTACACAATGACTTTCACCTGTGAGAGATTAGGAACTCTTTCGAATAAGCCATGCATCCCATTCCAACCTTCCCTAACCCAGTTTCCTATGACTGAAACGAATAGAAATTAAAGGAAATATAATTTATAATATATTGTCAAAAATGCTATTCACCTAGCTAGGATAAGGAGCTAATCAGTAGCTGGTCTAGCTTCTCCCTCCCAGGAAGTTTACAGGTCTCCCTGAGGATAGCCTTCAAAATTATCATTCAGATTTATGTTCATTTTATGGGTGTAGCGTTTACTGTCCCATGTAGCCTTCACACTGGTTTCAGATCTTCTTTGTCTGCCGAAGTGGAAATTAATAGAGGCCAATGGGCGCAAGCTTTTGCATCAATAAAATCTATCTTTCCACAAAATTAAGAGGCAATAAGAAAACAGTATAAAAAAAAATCGACGATAATCATACAGGGTATAAGCTCATCAATTTCAATCTATTAGCGATAAAACTATAGTTTTAAAAAAAATTATACTGACGACTTCAATCAATAATCGATTAGTTCAATCCATTGGTCGAGGGACATGCAACGTGTGTGCACAGAGAAGTGACACCACTGTTGTTTGGACATTTCAGCCTTCATACCATCGTGTGAAATTTACAACAAGCGAATGCAGTACCTGTCTTTTGGCATACGCCTCCAAACTGTGACAATCCAATTTGTCATCGTAAATGTGGACACCATTTTGTGTAGCGAATTCTGGGCTCTCTCGTAAACGCCACTCCCAAAATGATCTCAAAATACCCTCCACCTCAGCTGACATTGTTACATTAGCAGTAAATATAGAACTACTGATTGTTGAAAAGTCCAATGTACGAATAAAAGGATAGAAAACTGCAGGAGAGAGCAGATCATCAAACAAAGGTTTTCACCAGTTTACCCCTTGTACCAGACGTGATACCGTGACACGTGCACCAGCAAAGTCTACTGGGAACTTGTTGTTTACCTGCATTAGACACGATCGCGAACCGGCAGTCATTGTCACACAATTGGAATATGGCGGACCTTGATAACACAAATGGGTGTATGACAAACAATGGTTTAAACGAGAAATCGAGCTCAGGAGAAAGTCTTAAATTCGCGAAGAAATTGTATATACACGGGGGAAACATTTCAAACTGGAACAGAATCAAAAGAAAAACCACTCCAAGTTCTTCGGATGAAGTAAGTGTTAGCGATAACAATATCCTGACTCGGCAAAAGAAAGTTATAAATTATTTCTTTTCTTACGGAAAAATGTTTTTTTTTTTTTCCACTTTTCATATGCTTGAGGTCCATTTCTCCCTGTCGCGCAAACAGAAAAGGTGTGAGAACTTTTCTCTCGAGTCACTCTCTTATAATGGGCGTTTTCCGCTTCAGTTGTCCAATCATTCTGTCGAGAAACTTGAAACAAGTGACCATAGCTAATGCTCCATTAGTACACTAAACGATCGTGGCATTTATGTCTTTATGTCAAGGCTTTTTATTTCTCTATGCGCTCTGAACAGCTAAAAACTTCTTTTCTAGCGAAGGTCCTAATGTTTTTTGTTTAGAGGTCGAGGATGAGGTCATGAACCTTTAAATTCACCTGATCATGACTTGGCAATTTCTGCCGGCTAACTCGGCTGGTCTGTCGAAACAATTTGCATAAAGATGTTCTCGCCTATCATCTTCGAGAAAACATCATTACTTTTTCTTTTAAATATATCAATCGTTTGCGTTCGGTAAAGCGATAGTCAGACTTACTGACATATCCATCAAGTTTTCTGTTTAGCATTCTTGTTTAGTATTCTTGTTTAGTTTTCTGGTTAGTATTCTCGTTCCTTATCTGACAGCTCGTGCAGCTGAAAAATTCAAGGTGAATGCGATTTCCTGAGTCAGCTTTGCAGAAACATGTATCAGCTTTACTAAATCAACATCACAAATTTGAAAATGAATTAAAGATCTGACTAATGCGAACAACTAACAGTTTGCAAACACCTACAGGTGTGACCATTCTTGACCTCGTCTTCCGCTAAACTTCTATTTATGAAGGGAAGTAATAAACTAAATATTCGAATGCATGACGTACATGTCGTTACAACTTTTCATCCCCGTACAAAATGTTTAAATGTCTTTTACATACAGACATGTATAACTGCCATATTACGCCAATCATTACATGTCATTCGTCATGATGACATTTAGCTTCAGTGTAAAAGAAAAAACAAACAAACAAAAATTGATATCCAGAACTGCTCCAGTTCTTAAATTATAGTAAATTAAAGTAACTGCATTTTATTCTGCACAGCTTTCAGAAAGCATTGGAACAACATTAAGCAGTTTGCTTCCCACCAACAACAATGATCAGGAATTTGTTCCAGTAAGTTGAGTCTTAGGTGTGTCATTAATCTTTACAATTTTTCCTGGCAAGTTTCTAATGTAGTGTTATTACTCCTACCTTTGAAATGAGAGAAAATTCAATAGTTTAGTCTGCAGATCATTATTTTGGTGACCTTTCATCCTGAGAACTATGGTTAGGTACAAAACTTTCCATTTTGCATTTCAGCAAAAAGCCCTAAGATGCATAAACCAAAAGTTTGTGGAGAAAATAGAAAGAGGAGAAAGGGAACATCTCAAGATTTCAGGTAGGCATAAATGCATTATTTAGAGGTATGTTATAAATGCAATTCCCATATGGATGCTGTTTTGCTCATACTTTAAACACAGGGCTTTCAAACAAGAGGCCTTTTTGACGAGGGGACAGGGTATGGGCTTATCATAGACTCACTCACTGATGGTCTTTTCATTATTTGTCTTCCAAACTGTCACCCAGATTTGATTTAATGAATACCCTTTACCACCTGCATTTCTGTTTAGTCTAGAACTTACTTCATTATTTCATTTATTTCAACTGGATCTATATAATTGTTAATGAACACAGTCAACCTCCAATAAAGAAATCATTACTGAACTCACTGAAAACTATAAATGAATAAATTTGTTAAACCTTGTTATAAGAGAGTGGGGAAATATTCAATCTTCCCAATTGTGCACCTCTCACTTCAAATACCTAATGCACCATAGATGTTCATTTAGTCTTAGTAAGGCATTCTCTGGTGTATTCTGGTATGATAAGTATTTTTCAATGTGCTATTGTAATAATTTCAAGGACTGAAATCGCATCTTAGAGTTTGAAATATGTGAAATTTCATGCTTTTTTGATGATGTATTTGAAACCTTGCAAAGGATTAATAAGATATATTTATTGGATTTGTATTTTGTTTTGTCCATCAGTGAAGATATTTGCCATTGAACTAAACCCCGCCTTTGTGCAAGATGCATTATTTAGAGGTGAGATGTGTATTAATATGCATTTGAATGGTTCTTTATAACAACTGTAATGTGCACTGCTGGAAATGAGGTCAAAGCCACTGAAAATTATAGAGTGAAAAGGAAGTGAGGGAAGACTAGTGTTTTGCCAGAAGATCACAAAATTTTGAATAAACATGGATTGTTTATTCAAAAAATAATAGCCTCAAGTATGGCAATTTTCCTCACTTTTTGCAAACATCACAAATTAAACTGACTGTTTCATGCCAGGAGCCTAAACTTAAAAAAAAAATTTGTTTCTCTGGGAAGTTTGTATTTAGCTTTGTTCAAGTGAAATATTTTTATCTCAGGTCAATAGATTTCTGACTTGCAATTAATTAACGCACACCAGTCAAACTGGATTCTAGATTTTCTCCAGCTCTTCTCAGAGGCTCTTTGTCTGACAGCCAAAACTGCATGTATCATGTAGTTTTTACTAAGATCTGACGATTTGCCAAAATGCATTGTGTTTTAGCCTCATTATTAGGAATTAATACAAATTGTATCAAATTTCTGTGACGTAAAGTGTAAAACTATAATGGACTTTCTTTCCATAGCCATGTGTGAGTTGGGAATTGATTTTGTGGAAACATTGATTCTGGCATTGCCTGAAATTCCAGATGATGAGCAGCTGTCAGTTCTGAAAGGTTTCTGGGAGGTATGTTTTGTTTTAAAACAAGACAGAATTTACAGGCCATTCATATTATTAATGCATGTAAATGTATAATCATTATAGCAGATCATTCCATTCTGCACTTAATACTTTGTGTGCACTTCTTCCATGCCTTTACACTTGTACCAGGCAGTAATTTCCAGTGAAAGATTTTGATTTTAATATTTTCTTAATATATTCTTATCCCTAAGTTTTAATCACTTTGTAGGAAATGGAAGTTTTGTTGGACAGTGGATACATACATAGTCTGGGTGTTTGTGACTTGGACAAGAATTCCCTGGAGAAACTTTATGAATGGTCAAGGGTATGTTTTCAAACCATTTGTTGCACTGCACATGTTACAAGGTTTTCAGTAGAAATTTTAGACCTCAGTTTTATTCTTTCTACCCTATTAGCTGGGTATTCTCAGCCATACAAATTAAAGCACAATCTTGCATCTCCATGTAACTTATATTTCATCCAATTTGTATTTTTCCTGCTGCTAGTTTAAATTGCCTACTTGAAATTCTAAGTTATTAACTTTTAGCATCAAATTGAAAAATTCCACAGACTGCAACTGAAACACCTCAGTTACTAATTCATGTACATAGGCATGTATAGAATAATAATCCTCTTGCTAATTGTCGTTTGTTTCTTTTTAGATCAAACCTGAAATCAATCAAGTTAATCTTGCTTCATGTTGTGTCATGCCAAAGGTATAATTAATCAAAACATGTGACTCATCCTTATATCTTAAATGCCCTGATTTTTTGGTCATTTGTTTGTTTAGCAGTACTTTTATTTGTTGGTAAAGTTAATGTGTTGCTCAAAATATGTCCCATTTGTGTAGTTTCTTGATTATATTTGAGGGCACAAAAAAAATCCCTGCTAAGCTGAGCCACTCAATCTATTCAATTTAAGTTTAATCAGACTGCTGCTTTTGAGAGGAGTATTTTGCATATCACACCTTTACCTTAGCCTGGCACTAATTGGCTCCAGTGGGGCATTTATTGTTTAAAAGGAGTTGCCTTGACTCATATGGGTCAGAAAAAAAAAATGGAAAGCTGCCAGAATTTTTGACAGAATTAGATATATCTGTACCCCAGTGGAAGAAATGACAGGCGATGGGAATTTTAAACAATTCATTACTTGAATCTTCAATTCTTAAATCTTCAGTTAAGTATTGTTAATATAAGAATCCCAGTTGTCATTTCTTCCACTGGGGTACAGATATACCTAATTCTGTCAAAAATTCTGGCAGCTTTCCGTTTTTTTTTTTCACCAGGACACACATATATTCAACTCAAAATAGGGAGACTGGGTATAAGTTGTAACTCAATGTAACATGTTTTGAATTGTATCCTTCAGGAGCTTGTAGCATTTAGTGAGAAACATGACATCCAACTCCTCACACATGCTGATCCAAAAGGTATGAAAATTAAAAAAATTAAACATTTTTGTCCAAACTCATTGGCAGATTGTGAGAGAAGATCAGCCTGCCACTCACCCCTCCCCCCATTCCCTCAAACAATTGGGTTTTATATTACTTGTCTGACATCAAATTTCTTGCAGTTATGGGGTGATGATGTATTGCAACCTAATGTGAAGTATTTATTTAAAGTATTTAAAGTCTACTCGTCTTGAAATATTTCAATATCCTATTCAGGGTTTAGAGTGAACCCCCTTGAAAAAAAACTTTTTGTGCCAGACCAAGCTCAAAATTAACCATCTTTCTTATTCTTTTCTTACTTTTCTTTGTATAACTTACTGGTGCTGCTAGAACCGGCTCTGTTGTAGAAGATTCAAATCCTTATCTCTCGGTTCTTCTTAACAGATATTCTGACCAAGGGGAGACTTGAGGAGGTGCTGACAGAGAGCTACGAAAATGTACCGGTCCAGGGATGGAGACCTGCATGGGCCCTGAGATATTCAGTGCTGGTTAAATGTCGTGGAGTCATAAAGAACAAAGGGTAGGTTGAAAATTCATGACACTTTGATCTCGTAACTGTTCCCTGCCCGAATTAAATGCACCCAGGAGTGACCAGCATTGCATTTCCCCTTACAATATCGCCCTGAATCACTTGTTGAGGCCATGAGAATAAAGGAAATGATCACTAACTAAAGAAGCTCTTGATTATCAAACAAATTCTCCTTGTCAGCACTTTAGGAAATGCAGTGAGAACAGTATGGAGAATATGCATACTAATGTTGTGGTGTGAAGGCTTGTAGTGTTTGTTCCTTATTGGAATACCTTAGCTATAAGATAATCTGTATTTTATTGGTTAGCACACCCTTGACCGCAGTCACGTGTTTAACCATAAATATCAATGTATATAATTAAGTTCATCGTATTCTAAGTAATAAAGCTGTTGAGTAGAGCACTTGGTCTGATTCACGCAGCACTTTATAGTGGTATATCGAACCTTAATGTACAACAGGCTTAACACCTTTATCGTTTGCTTTCTTTCACTTTAGGTACATAGTCTTCTGCGAACAGGATTAAATTGTCTTTAATTTGATGTATAACTTCCAAAAAAGCGATGACTCCGGAATATGTATGCTTGTCACCGATTCTTGTACCTTCTGTGGTGTGTTTTAAGCGTGCACTTTACGCTCTGCAGAAAGTGAACAACAGCCTTCTGTGTCATGTAAATTAGAATTAAAATTTCGAGATCTCCTTGTGCATTTAAAAGATTCAAACCTCCTCGCTTCTTTTCAGAACTGGTGAACAACTGTCGGACGTTTTTGTTTCGTTACTTGCTTTTAAAATTTAAGGAATGGGGACAGAAGTGAGGGAATAAGCGTAGAGAAATGTTTATACATGTACAGTCTAGCTGGGTAACTGCGAAGCCATGGATTTTCAACTACAAGGAATGAGGTGTTTTGCTGATGGAGAATATATCAACTATTTAAGGGCGGGTTAAATTGTCGACAAACAGATGCAGTGAGCGTAAAGCCAGGAACAGAGCTAAAATAACTCTACATAAATAGATTCTTGTGTTTGTTAATATACGTTTAGGGCTGAAAGGAGGTGGTTTGTTTTGCTTTGAACCTATCCACTGAACGTCAAGACTCAAGTGAACAATTCGAGGTATTTTTCTTTCAATTCATTAATTTGTTGCCACGAAACGCAAGACTCCAGAGTTGATTCAAACGTTGCGGTCCGACACTTTTGCATCTGAAGGAAATTTAGACTGAAGTTTAGTTGTAAATTTTTGTTTAGATACTCCATTGGTATCATTCCTCCGGATTTAAGACGCTCGTCAAGATTTATGCGCACTTTTCGAGATTTCATACGTATTTATCAGTTTAACAGTAGATTGGATAGTATAGGTAACTGGTCTGAATAAATATGGAAACATTTTAAAACTTCTAAAGCGTTATTTTCTATCTTCCTTTATGAGCTTGGTGGAAATTTTCCTTTGGTAACTTCCCGATGATTTCTTACATTATAATTCAGTTTTAACTTAATATGCGAGAAGAGAATGATCGAAGTCGTACCCCGTCGCGAATTTTGTCTTTCATCATAGTTAGTCCCCTCTACTAACTATGCTTTCATTCAAGATATGACCTACGTATATCGCATACCCCCTCGTTTTCTAAGGCCTTACGGGCTATACAAAGTAGATCAATTTTGGCCGGCCGCGCGCCAAATTCCCGCGCAAACTTTTATGAAAAGTGCTGCCACATAAAATAAACCAAAAAAATTGAAACGTGCATCGGATACCACAAAACTGAAAAGAAAAGTGTGTAGTATATCCAGCTTAAATACCTTCCCGATCCTTCACTATTTTCTTTCATTCGTTATTTCACTTAATTTTACCTGGTTACTTCTACCCCTCGTTTCCCTTTACCAGCATGCGATAATGCAGGGATTTATCCTTCCTTAAAACGATCATCCACTTCAGTGGCAAAAAAATACTGAAAACATCATGAGATAGCGCCATTTTAGCTCGAACTACTGGTTAACCTTTAACTCCCAGAAGCGATTAACATGTAACATCTTCACATAATATTCATACATTACACGGCCTCCATGAAAAGCAGAAGTTTTTTTATCTTATTTATTTTTTATTTATTTCTTTTATTTCAATTGTTATTATCAAATTATTATTGTAGTTACCGTAAATGCTCGAT